GATTTTATTTTTACTGAAGTACTAGATTGATATAATTCCATTACTATTCTGACATTTATTTCCTCATATATCAGTGGTTCATTTGGAGAGCGAATTATTATATGGACAGTCATTTGATGTTTCAGACGAAGCATTGTCTTCAGACTTCTTGCTTCCCATAGGTCAAGCTAAAGTTGAAAGGGAAGGTGAGCCTCTTTCTTTTTCTTTTTCCGTCCTTATTCTTTGATTCAGCATTAGATTCTCACTGTTGGTGCATGAGTATTTACTAATTGCTAATATATGACTTTAAAATGTGTTAGTTGTATATCTATTATACAACTCCATTACTTTGTATTTCAACTTTTCTAGTAGTTTTCATTCGCCCATTGTTTTTCTTACAACTTTACTTATGTCCTACATTTTCGTCTTTAACCATTTTACAAAAACGTAAAATTTAATGTGATGTTGCTTTATAAACAAACAAAGTAAACCATGACAAGAAAGAGAAGTGTTTAACCCCACACTTTTTTAAAGCTACCACATTTTGAAGTAAAAGAAATATTTGGCATCAAGAGAGGGAAAAATATATGAATGCAAATAGGAAAAACAGGAGTGCAATATGGAGTAAATACATGTAGTGTTATATGGTTCCTAAGATTTAATGCAGTATCAAGAATAAATTTACGCATGTCATTATCGTCAGTTGTTCAGCACTTCGACTTTGGATCCCAATTCATAACAACTACCAGTAATCTCAAAACTAATTTCATATTTCATTCTTGTCACCCTTTGATTTTTATAGTTCAATCTTACTAATGATGATATTTCGTTTATTGGTTGCGTAACTTGTGTAACGTATGTCTTAAGCACCTCAGTGTGTATAAGTTAACAACTATAGATGACTAATTACCAAGATCTTTATGCTCCATCTCTATATTATTCACTCAGTACTCTACAGTAACTCGCGATTAAATACTTCTCGCCAACTCATATCTTCAACCAAAGTAATTCAAAATTAAAGCGTAAAGCCATCCTGTACTCATTTCTCGTGATATTTATAATACGGTTATGACGAAAAGCATAAATTATTTTCTGTCCATCAATAACAGATGTGATCTAAAAAAAATCTATTATTCTTTTCACAATAATGTGAAGAGTTTGTTATTGAAATACGCTATTTACAGGCATTGGATATATTAAGCTGACAAGGAAAGGATGTGGCTATTAAAAATAATTGATGCAACCCCGTGATCAAGCATAGTTCCATGGATATAGATTTTAGAAAAACTTTCTGTGAGGGGCTTTCAATAGTGATTCGCTACTCTAACCGAAGCAGTTAGTCCTGAGTCCGAACGCATATATGCTGTTTATAAAGCAAATACTTCAATGACAAGTCTATCGCTTGATCATATATAAGTTTCGATTTACTAATTATGGCTTTTCACTTATCTTTTTCTGATTCTGATATGTGAATTTATGCATCCTATAATATAAAAAAACAGTAGTATTAAGCGGCTAGATTATGACTCAGCTATGGAGCACATAATTTTTGATGTCTTTGTCAGGCTAGAAGGTGTTTCTGTGTATCGTAGATGGGATTTATTAGGAAGCAATATTTAGAGCCGTTAATCAGTAATATCCGTTGTTGGTTATGAAATTTTATTGATTCCACCTTTATGGTGGAGGAAATCTATTGTTTTCCAACACTTTGCGTATGGGGGAAAAACTAAACCTGTACATAAATAACATTCATTAATAGTAACTACCGTATACGTCACTTCCTCGCAAATCTTGGTTGTATAAATACTAATATCTTTGACACTTAAAATGATATTATAGAATTGTATTGCTTATGGTGTTTACGTGCAGTATGTTTCATTCATTCGTTTTTTACATTTTTAGAATGAGAGAATTTAGTCGAAGTTGGATTATCAGATACTTTCTTTACTGTCTCTAATTAATTAAATATGTGCGTGGTCCAAAAGTTGATCACAGTTAAAAATATTTGCAGAAGAAAAGTCCTCCACATGGCAGTAGGAAGTTTTGGAAAGAAATATTCCCAATAGCCCAGAGACGACAAAGCTTATGTTGGCTCAGGCTTTTGAGGTTTAGAATGTTTAGGGAATCGTAAATTTAAGGTGACTATACATGTAGTAACTTTTGTTCTCCTTAAACTTTAAGGATAATTTCTTACTTTGCCGTGTAACTCAAATACCCATTTAAGTTTATTTTGGTGTGTTAGAATTTTGTTTTGGAATTAACATCACTGGTAAATTTGATCAAAATCCTCTATTTGTGAAGCTGTTCTCTCATATCTTAAAAGTTTTCATAAATGTCCACGTTTTTGTTTTAAAATATGTCCTTTTTATAAATGTTTGTAGGAGAAACGTCATTTGTCTTTCAAAACAATTGGTTTTGTTAAAAAAATTTCGATAGTAGCGTGACAAACAGAGTTGATCTACGATGCATAATAGATGTTTGTGCTATAGATTTCTAACAGTTTTGTCACGCATTTGTTAAAGTATTGTAGATAAGAATTATGCATGGTAATTTGAAATGTAAAGAGAGAAAAGCGAATGTTATGAATCGTGTATTCAACGTTCTACATACTTACTGGTCGTTTTTTGTATTTTAATTTATAGGGAAAGATGTCACTCTCGTTAGTTACAGTTTAGGTGTGGGTACTTGCCTTGCCGCTGCTGAAGAATTATCAAAACTAGGTATCAGTGCCGAGGTATGCAAGAAATGTTTCATCGTTTTTCTTTGGTAATCCGTGTGTAGAATAATTTTCAATGAGTTTTTCCTCAACCACTCACTTATATAATTCCGTGATTCAAACTTTTATATCGTTCTTCTTTTTTCTAGTCTTTTCAGATGAACCAGACAGTTTATAATTTTGAAATACAAATCATGACAGATAGGTTTTAGGTCCAATTAATGGTAGTTATTAAGATGTCCAAAAGTCATAAGAAGGTACAGAACGTATTTATCTGTAATATTGTGGTCGATTTTAAGTCATTTCAGTTTGTTTCCGGCCACTAGTTTCTATCATCTTGAATACTCCAACTCTCATCATATTTGAACAGGTTATATGTGGGGCTGTGACTACATAATTTAGAACTAATTTCCAACCAGTGGACGATAAGTTTGGACTACTGTCCAAGTTTAACTGGCCAGTCACTGCATAGTATATTTTGCTTATAGGTCAATTAATACAATCTGGTTCATGTGTTTTTGAGTTGTCCTTTTATTTTCTTGACACTGTAAGGTAGACTTTAATATATCGGACATATTCTATTCTTTTTTTCCTTATTTTAGGTAATTAATTTGCGTTCCTTGCGGCCAATGGATGAAGAAACAATATTTCAATCCGTTAAAAAGACACATTATTTAGTAACCGTAGAAAATGGTTGGCCTGTATGTGGTATTGGTGCTGAAATATGTGCTCGCGTCATGGAAAGTAAGTTTAGCACCCATTGTAAATATATTATTCCATTCATATCCTTTCTGAAAACTTCAGGATACTAGGTTTCTTTTAAATCACGTTTTCGGGTTTTATATTAAATTTTGCAATAAAGTGCACCGTAAACATTCACCATAATCAAAATTGAGAGTAAGTCTAAGAAAATCATCAACCTACTGTAAGATAATAAAAATATTTATTCTTTTCTATTTGATGTTTGAATAATTGAAGCTTTTTGTTAGATTAATGACTTCATGATTAAGAAGACAACTCAGATTTTATCCAATTGAGTTACAGATGCAAACACTGCTCCATCTGATTGATACAATTTCGAAAATAGAGTACCAGTATCATTAGTTTTTACAGAACTAAATTGTAATTCATAGTATGTACTTAATAAAAGTGAGTTGCATTCGTTGAGTTAGTAAATTCACTGTTTCATGACCTCAGAAGTAATTGTCATGATCATTTAATTAAATGGAATGGCAAAGCTTCAGTTATATCATTTTATTCGTTATGGCAAATTTGCTTACGACTGCTTTTGAATATTTCAGCCAATTATCGTATTACAAATTTCTTACTAATATTTAGACTTTGAATATTGTTGGTTCAGGGATATTTAATTCACTTATGACATTTTCATTAAACAATTACTTAATAACTCAATAAGATTTATACTTTGAATTGACTTGTTTATAATTTTAACTGACGCTCCACTAAACAAAGCTAGATGTAAGAAATACATTCGTGAAGGGTATCAGAATCAATCACCTGTTTTTGTGAATGGTGCTAGCTTTCCTACCAGTCTATGGTCAAATAATCCAAATTATTAGGCTTTAATCTCAATCTATAAGATGATAGAACAATGTTGGAGGCTGTATGCACAAGCAGTCATTACAATTTAATTTATAACTTGTTGCTCCAATATTTTGTTACCATTATATATATAGTTTATATTTAAAATATTACGAACTAAACATTTTGCCTTTATATTTTATGAATTTTTTTAGCGGATACTTTCAACTATTTAGATGCTCCAGTTTTACGAGTGACTGGCGCAGATATTCCTATGCCATATGCTCAAAATCTGGAGCGTGCTTCTTATCCTGATACACATAATATTGTAACTACTGTAAAAATGGTTAAGAATATTCAGTGAACAGTTAGCTTTTTAACTAATTAACTGCCTTTCGTACCGGCAATGCAAGCTACCTACTAGTTTATTATATAAAATGCTCTTTCACTATTGATGCATCTCAGTATACTTGTGATTTGTAAAATTTATTGTGTTCCACTGTTACAACAACTACTAATACTACTTATTTAAATGTCTAGCAATTTTCCCTCGACTGTTGTTTTGCACAAAATTATATCAGTTAGTCAATAAAGTATTTTTTATTACTTCATTTATATATTTTTAGTTCAGAAAAAAATCAAGGGCATATAAAGTGAGAACAAATAAAAATATCTTCAGAGTTTTTTGTTTTTTGTCTAAATAATTTTTAGAGTTCTGTATAGCTTTCAGAAATAAGACTGAGATTTTTCGAAGAAGATATCTTTATAATTCAAAATCTCTGAAACGATAATGATAATAATAACAAAGAAAAATAATAAGATAAACAGGTTTAGTGAATAGTTCGCCAATTCATAATTGATCTCTCTACATACCACTCCCTTTAATCTCTTCACACAAGTTTACGATACGACCGTTTCTATTTTAGTGATTTATCGGGGTTTTAACTTCAGGTGTGAGATGAGTTGCTAGGAAATTACACTTAACCTTAGCACAACAAAATTTCAATTTATTTCACAAGACACGACACTAATAATTCTGCTTCAGTTAAATTGATTAGAAATAATCCGCAACGGTAAACAAAAAAAAACAAAGACATCTTGAGTAGAAAAAAAACAAGATAACCTGTTATTAAATTAACAGTAAGTTTGTTAGTTATTGAGATGCTTTTCGATTTGTTTCTCCGTAATTATTCAAACTCTGACTTGTAAGATTCAGATTTAGATGTGAGAGTTCAGCTAAGTTAAAGACTTTTTGTATTAGTTTCATTGCATTCGACAGCGCAGCTTCTTCCATTTTAATTTGGTTACCATAACATTAAGAATGTTATTCATAATAAGGAGTGTATAGTACGTTCATAACTAGTGGTCGTTGTTTTAAACTGCATCAGCATTACTTACTTACGCCTGTTACTCCTCGTGAAGGAGCATAGGCCGCTCACCAGCATTCTCCATCCAACCCTGTCCTGGGCAATCCTTTCTAGCTCCGTCCAGTTGTAATTCATCGTTTTCATATCTGCTTCTATTATCCGACTCAATGTGTTCTTTGGCCTTCCTCTTTTTCGCTTCCCTTCAGGATTCCAAGTTAGGGCTTGCCTCGTGATGCAGTTTGACAATTTGCATAATGTATGTCCTATCCATTTCCATCGTCTTTTCCTAATTTCTTCTTCAGCTGGAAGTTGGTTTGTTCTCTCCCACAGAAGGCTATTGCTGATGGTATCCGGCCAATGGATGTTGAGTATCTTGCGTAGACAGTTATTTATAAATACTTGTACTTTCTTGATTGTGGTTGTTGTAGTTCTCCAAGTTTCAGCTCCATACAGTAGAACTGCCTTGACGTTCGTATTGAAGATTCTCACTTTGATATTGGTTGAAAGTTGTTTTGAGTTCCATATGTTCTTCAATTGTAGGAATGCGACCCTTGCTTTGCCGATCCTCGCCTTTACGTCTACATCGGATCCTCCTTGTTCATCGATGATGCTTCCCAGGTATGTGAAGGACTCTACATCTTCCAGAGTTTCGCCATCAAGTGTGATTGGATTGCTGTTCTCCGCTTTGAATTTGAGGACCTTAGTTTTCCCTTTGTGTATGCTGAGGCCTACTGATGCAGAGACTGCTGCTACACTGGCTGTCTTCATCTGCATCTGTTCGTGTGTACGTGATAGGAGGGCTAGGTCATCTGCGAAGTCCAAATCGTTTAATTGGTTCTGAGCTGTCCATTGTATTCCGTGTTTTCCTTCAGATGTTGAGGTCTTCATAATCCAGTCGACCACCAGAAGAAAGAGGAAGGGAGAGAGTAAACAGCCTTATCTGACTCCAGTCCTTACTTGGAATGCATCTGTCAGCTGTCCTCCATGCACTACTCTGCACTGTAGTCCGTCGTATGAGTTCCGGATAATATTGACAATCTTCTCAGGAACTCCGTAGTGTCGAAGAAGTTTCCATAATGTCTTCCTATCTACACTGTCGAATGCCTTTTCATAATCAATGAAGTTGATGTATAGTGATGAGTTCCACTCAACTGATTGTTCGACGATGGTCCGTAGTGTTGCAATTTGGTCTGTGCACGACCGATCCTTACGGAATCCAGCTTGTTGATCTCGAAGTTGGGCGTCTACTGCATCCTTCACCCGGTTCAGCAACAATCTGTTGAAGACTTTCCCTGGTATTGACAGTAGTGTTATGCCTCTGTAGTTTTCACATTTGCTCAGATCTCCTTTCTTTGGAATCTTGACGAGGTGTCCTTTCCAGTCCATCGGCACTTGTTCCTCCTCCCAAATCTTTTTGAATAGAAGATAAAGCATGCTTGTGGTTGCTTCGATGTCTGATTTCAGTGCTTCAGCTGGTATGTTGTCGGGTCCTGCTGCTTTCCCGTTCTTGATTTGTCTGACGGCCATTCTAATTTCTTCCGTAGTTGGTGGATTGACATCTATAGGAAGATCTATGTGTGCTGCTTCGATGTCCGGTGGATTCATTGGAGCCGGCCTATTCAGGAGTTCCTCGAAGTATTCTACCCATCTGTTACGCTGTTGTTGAATTTCGGTGATTGGCTTGCCTTCTTTGTCTTTGACCGGCCTCTCTGGTTTACTGTATTTCCCTGATAGTTTCTTCGTTGTATCGTAAAGCTGTTTCATATTTCCTTCTCTAGCAGCATCAGCATTGACGAAATATATACGAAAAACCGTAGGAATATTTTAAACTAAATACAATAAGTGTGTATTTGTCTATATTATGGGGTAAAATTTTATTCAAATATTAAGACAATTGATAAGCCTAAATAAAAATGCTTCTTGTATATATTGCATCAGCATTGACGAAATATATACAAGAAGCATTTTTATTTAGGCTTATCAATTGTCTTAATATTTGAATAAAATTTTACCCCATAATATAGACAAATACACACTTATTGTATTTAGTTTAAAATATTCCTACGGTTTTTCGTTGTTTTTTCTAAGATAATAAAGCAACACTCATTGTATAAAGACAATGAATGAAAAATAAGAGAATTTAGAGGGTAAAACATTTAATTTGAACATCCCAGGATAACAGATTGCCACCTGGAAACAGAACTCACTCTCACGAAAGCTTGGAAAGAATATAATCATATACTTACTAGCGACTTGTAGATGAGTTCATGAAGTTTTATCGGAAAGCAATATCTAAGATTTCTCTCATGTCGGGAATGAAACGGTTGTTATTGATTGAATTTGATGTTATTGTATATCGAGAAACGACTGAAGTTGGTAATGTAGACCATTAAAAATTAACCTAGTAGACCATTCGTTAACCACATACCATGAGACCTAAAGTTCTTGTGTTCGATGACCAGCTAGATATGGTGTGTTACTACTGAGAAGCCTCTCGCTCATACAAAGCAGATGTACTTTGTTTTTTAAGGGTATGGCAAATGCAGGCCACAAATATTTATTTCTGGAAAAGTATTTTATTTGACTGCAAAAATGAATATTAGTGATGGGCAGCTTAACAGACTAATCAACGCTTCAATTAATCGTTTCCTGGTAAAAGTGTGAAATGTAATGCTGAGGCTGACATGCACACATGTATGGCTGCTCCCAGGTTGTCAGTTTGGAGCGCACTAAAAGATTTATTTATCATATCTTGAAAATAACTTCATTGATCATAAATTTCTTCTAACCTTAATTCAGAATTAATAGAATTTCCCTTGAGTATACTAAATGCATTTAATTTCTAATAAACTAGATTTGACAATCATCCTATTTTTTACGTTGTCATCTCCTTACAACTTCAAAGTAACCAGAATTTCGTGCCTTGCAATCGATATTTTCCCTTCATATTTACATCATAAAACATCTTTTAAATAATTTAAATACTTATTTCTTTCTTTAAATAAGTAGTTTTTCACTTACGTAAAGTTAACCTCTTCTAGATTCTTTGGATCTAATTCTTGCATTAATACTTTCATTTGTTCTTCAGTAAATTGTATTCCAAGTCTCTATAAGATGTAAATGTCCCGATTATATGTAGTTTTTCAAAAAAGTGAGATTTTCATTTTATACAAATTGTCTGTTTATTATTAACCTTAAAAAAACTAGTCAAGTAGGTATACATTCCATCTTATATCGCCACCAGATATTATACAAAATGAAAAACAGTGGTTTACCTAGATATACAGACCATCCTTTTTCGTAATTGTTCTAGTACCTTCCTTTCACATGTTAAAGTAACATCAATTGTTATCGATGTGATGAATATTTATCCTGTCATCAACTTCGTTGCCGATGTGTTACTAGCATTTTTTCCTGTCTGTAGTTAATAATAACGAAACACCGTCTGATAACAGCTCACCAATGTGCAATAAACAACTTGTTATAATTGCTCGAATATATGACTACAGCAGATGGGTTTTTTTTTTAAAGTAGGAGCATCACATTTTGTTATTCATTTAATTCACTCATTTGAACCATGATTAATCCTTTCGTTTTATTGTATGAAATATTGATCTTTTATTGAACACAGATAATGATCGTATAGGTTCACTTTAAAGAATTTTTAATATTAAATATGTTCCACAGTATGATTTATTAAGATTAACAAATTTGGTAACATTATGTGTGCTTATTTTTACAGTATACATTGTTACGGTGAAAGTTGACATGAGTAAAGACGAAATAAGTAGGATCATAAAAAAATTAGTACATAATGAGAAAAATGCAAAGAAATTGAAAGAAACAAGTTCAGTATTTTGAACTCTACGGGAGAAAAGTGATTATCTGCATCATTGTAGGTCATTTTAAGCAATGCTAAATTAAGATTATCTAGCTGAGTCTGTTTTATTCTATATGTATCATTTTAAGGGTCAGTGACAACATACTTCAGTTTGATCACCCTAAGATATACTCCAAAATGTTTTCTGTAAAGCTGCCAGTCCACTCATAACTAAAATTAGTAAATATTTTGCTCATAGTTTTATATTGTGTAATTGAAATGTGCGTTTATGATTATGACAATATGAATGGATAAGGCATATTATTTACTACAGAATGTATTAAATACAATCAAAATAACATTATACTGACAGAATAGTTAATTTTGAGGTAGATGTATTAATAGCTAGGAAATTAATCTATTAGCCAATATTACTGAAAATATTTATTCAACACAAGATCCAATGTTCAAATTCAATACTTCATTATCAACAGGAGAAACGTCTAAATCCCTGTGAATAATAATAAATGTCATACACGTTGGGGAAAAGTGATAACAATCATAACTTGATGGCATGTTAGATGAAATATGCTAATTATTGAATCCGGCAAATTGTAGATTATTGATTTTTAGTCCTACTATATTTATTCCATGACCTAATTGATTGAAGTGTCAAAACAATGTTTTGTGTGATTACTTAGAAATGCATTCATTTGATTTTGCCATCATAAAAAGACTTATTTATTTCTATCGATTGACAACGGAAATAAAACTACATCTTTAACTTTGTTTTTAGTAATTGTAACTTTGTACATTGAGTAACCTATAAGTGTCAATTTCTTCTGTTCCCCTTAACGACTCATCACAATAAGCTTGTTTCCTGTTTCCATTGTAACGAACATTCATAAAATGTTTTGAAAAATCAAGCTGATCATTTATAACTTTCATAAATTTTAAACCGTATACACAAGTAGTTTGATTGGTTTGAATTGATTAGCAATAATCCGAACGGTAAGTTGACTGTTGGTAATCTCAAAATCTATACCCGTTTATTGTTCTCGCCAATATAGAAGGTTGATAAGCTTTCTTACCTTACATCATCCTTGACATAATCATAGTAATTACTAAAAAAAAGTTTGATTCCCTTAAAAAAGCATTTTCTCAATAGGTTATCTTTAAAATAATCTCTCAACATCCGATGAATTTCATGAGTTTCTTTATAAATTATGATCGTATCCATAAAATATGATTAATATTATTATTATTTTTTTTTAATGTCATAACTTACCGTCATGTAAATCTGTTTAAATAATACAATACAAAATGATTAGCTTTCTGAAATTCATCTTAAAATTAATTTAGATTTATTACTTCTAATAATGAAACATTTCTATTAAGAAGTGAATCAAAATACAATCTGGAAATTAGGGTATAGTTAGATTGTAAATTGTATAAGATTAACTTTTGGTATTGATTAATCAAATTTAGTAATAAGTAAGTACTTTTCATAATTTCAAAAGATCATAATAACTACTTAACATTGTAAAGACATTATTGTACTTAGATTATTGTCAAATTATACGTGTATTTGACTGGTATATTATCATATAATAAACGAATATTAGTTTTTAATTGTCAGTTTGTTTAAATATATTGTAATATTTTTTACATGGTTGATCAGGTATGATTTAGTTGAACTTTCATTTAGTTTTAAATGAGAAGTTTTACAGCGGCTAGGTCTTGAATACATAGATAAGCAATAAATATAAATGACGTCTAAAGTTGTTTCATGTCATTAATTGATGTCGATTTGGAAAAAAGCTTAAAACCAGAGTGGGCTTAGTAACTTTGTCGATACAGTATAAGACTTTTTATCAGTGGCGACTTACAAATATGTCAGCATTCGGGCCCAGGAGTTTCAGGTCTAACAGAGAGCGATTTAACTTCAAAACGAATAAACCAGAATTCAACGGCCTAAATTCCTAACTTCAGTCACTTGACAAAATCTCATTATTCATAAATACTGATAGAAAACAATCTCAGCCTTGAGATGGCTGAATGACGTTAGTCGCTACAATTTCAAGAGATATTGACATCAGTTAGTGGTTATCATTAAGCAATAAAATCTGGGCAGCCTGGAGATTTCGCACTGAATAATGCGAATTTTCACTGTAGACAGGATAAGCCAATATATAGACATGATAGGACCATCTTTTAATATGAACTTGATTTTGATTCTTTGTTTATTTGATAATCTTGTAGAAGGTCTACATGAAATGGTGAAACAAATCATTGAAGTTATTTATTGTTAATTGCTTAAGTTTTAACAAGTAAAATCTTCACCTTATGTTAGCCTACTATCATTTGTTCCCCTTAAGTTCTGTTTACTTCCTTCTATCTTCAAGTTGTCATTTCATTTCTCTCAGAATAAATGGAAACTATATATCATTAGGTCATTTACATCCATAATATTCTACTAATATTTCAAGACATCATTGACTATATGATCAATAATGAAAGCTGTGGGAAGTTATGAACAGGTGAATTAACTTCCAGACATCTAATCAATATTCAACTACATAATAAACTGTATATAATATATGTGTGTACATTTACTTACAAAGATTAATATTCTATCAAAAGTGGTAAATTATGAGTCGTACTGTATTGTATAATTGGTGAAATAAGATAAATTTAAAATACCATTGATAATTTAACTGAAGGTTCAAACAATGACAAATTTTCGATGTTAAGTTGACAGTTTGGTTTGATTTAACATCTCTGTCTGCCAAAATACCGCTTTCGAAAACCATAGACATATTTCGCGAGCTGTCTGACCTCTTATCTCTAACAACACTAATTATGTGCACAAAAGATATCCGGTTTCAATCTGATAACATCATCTGTCGTCAAACTGATGGGATAAAAATGGGAAGACCACTTGGTTTTGTCCTAGCAGATATATTCATGACTAACCTTGAAAAGAACAAGCTTAAAGGCGCGGATGATATAATGGCTTATTATACGAGGTTTGCTGACGATAATTTTATTAGTATCAGTAGGGGTTTTGTGGAGATCGTAGTAATTTCAACAGTTGAGATCATGAGTCAATTAAAGCTAGATCACAGTGGAAAACCTGGAAGCATTGGACGGCCGTTTCGTCCTATTGTGGGACTCCTCAGTAGGGTGCATGATCAGCAACAAGCAAACCACCTGCTAAACCTTTTCAACGACGCTCATAAAAATATCCAGTTTTCCATAGAGCAGGAAAAGGATGGTAAGTTACATTATCTCGACATTACCATACAACTGAGGGAGGATGATTCAGTTCGACGCATTATCGATCGATATTTATATGCCTCTCTTTTCAAATGTGTCTAAGCCATATCTATTAAACGAATAAAACCAAATTTATGTATCCAAAAGGACACAGTTACAAATCAATCCTTACCAATGGTGATTTTATCGTCATTTTTTCAACTTCTCTCCAATTTTAATTGCATCACTTATTTCAAATTTATAGCCATATTATTTGTTTTTTTGACTGACTGATCTCAACTCATGTTATTCTTAATTGTTATTAACTTATATTCAACTACTTCATTACATAATCAATTAATTATTTTACTATATATGAAGATAAAGAATCTTTTCTCATACATCTACAACACTCATTATATATCTGCACTCTCACTACGCCATCATAATGATAAATATCCATTTTTACTGTTATTAGTGTGTAAGATTTATAATAATTTTGGATTTTATGTTTTTGGGTTGTAAGAAGTTGACGACAATCTAACGAAATATAATAAATTCATGTTATTCTGCTCAATTCCTTGTTTTCGCTCTATTCAAAACTACATTTATTGCAATCAATTGGTTTTTTGATCAAATTCCTTAAACAAATAGGAAATAAATGAAATTATTGAGAGAGAAAATTTTCAGACATAATGAGTAATGTCAGACAGGTTTGTGAAAACAAGGTTGGCTATATATATATATAGTCAGTTAACATTAAGAAAATCGAACCGAGTAATTTCCGATCTTGCGACGAGTGTGATACCTTGGTACCATAGAGTCAGAGTTCTGTTGTTACAGTTTACAACTCCAATAGATTTTTTTACATAGTCCTGTCATTATTCTACGTTATCTGCCTTAATACAAACACGATTAAACTACCTGGGTCAAATCTTTTCAGGTTAGATTAGAAATTTGACCGCAATTGTTTATGTGGGCCGTCAGGTTTCGCGTCAGTAGACTAAATATAGTAGTCAGAAATTTATTCAGTGTTTTTACATTTAAAATAACGGCTTACACCTCCAAGGTTCCACGCACCCGTGTACTTTGAGTGGTGAATATTCTATATAAGAATCATTTAAATTTCATATGTATGAGCTAACATACTGCAAACAAAATATTAACCATTAAGTTTTATGAATATTTCAGAATAAATTATACACATACATTTAGAATTTTCACGAACAGTTGTCTTGTAATAGTTTTATTACCAACAATATCCAAAGGACGTAATAGATCAGCTAAACTCTGTTTTGTTGAACGTCCCATTATGATCAATATTTCTTTTGGACTATATTCAGATCTTTTAAAACGTGGTGACAGTACCCGAATTTTATCAGTTGTTGCTTGGCCATATCTTACACATAAATTTGGAAGTTTAATTCGAGCTGAATCTTGTAAATCAAGAAAATCTTGATTTACTATAATATCCTGTCGAAATCCAAATAAATATCTTTTGATATAAATTAATACAATAATAAAACATTACTTCCCAAAAATTGTCAGTTTATAGTACAGAAATGCACTTGTTTATATAGTAATAGTACACTGACTAATCATCGATGACTAGTCTATACTGGACAATCGCCTTGTGTGGTTCCCTATTAGTACAACTATGAACGATGAGGTTAGAGATTGAACACAAAACCTTCAGGTCTCTCAGCTATTGGGTAAATGAAATATCACTGAGTCGGTAACAAATGTTTAGTCAATTTATGAAATAGCCTGACCATCATCTATTGCCATCCGCGACGACTGTATTGTATCCAGGTAATCTGAAATTCGGCGTCAATGGGTTCTGGCTTGAGTTATAGGAACTCATCATCCTAATATGATATCGGTTCGTGATGAAATCCAATTTTAATAATTGTTTTTGTTTTCTACAACTATTTGATAAATGATAAAGAGTTAAGTAACTAATCATAATTGTATTTTGAATTTCAATAAATTTTGTTGCTACTCAATTTACTGGACTTCTTTCTAGATTGTGAGAGGATAAAAATAAATGTGATTATAAATTTCTATTTCATGAATTACTTTATTCAACCTCTGTTATATATGAAAGATTGCGTTTAAGAATTTTTGATGATGCAATTTTGGACTTATTTATAAAAGGAATAGAATGGTAACTAGAAAATGATGTGTAGTTATACAGTGTAGTTGACTAGCCCCTGCTTATTATATCTGATAGTCATGCAAATCCTCAAACAAATTAATCTCAAAAGACAATAAAACAGTTGTGTGTTCCGCTTTAATAAGTAATACATGAAAAATGAAAGTAAGATATATTTGACCACCGATCGACGACTGACAAGTACCAAGTATATAGACTATTGTTATGTATCGAAGACTGACTTCACTCTATTGTACCCTAGGTTTTACACTGCTTAACTAAACGATCATTCTGTCTCAGTTTATCTCGTTTTTAATCATTGGTCAGTATTATATGTCCACGTATGTCTTGATCTGGTATTGAGGTCTAATTATATCGTATCCATTAGTGCTACCTTGTGCACCTAGCCGTATATAAAACGTTTTGTACTATTTATGGTAATTGTAACATAATATCCTGGAATGCTAGATATTAAATACTAAATATGTATGATAAGAAGTTATTTGGAATATCGATTATTTTCAAAGATATAGGCCTCGTAGGTTACCTATAAAATAATAAAGCTTAGAACATGGTTTTCAGTTATTTTGTTGCACTCAATACCACTGTGGTAAGCATTTAAAAAATACTCCTTTTGGGACAAGTGCATTTATTCACATAGAAAAACAGATCACGTGGACGGTAACCTTGTAGGGATTGATTTGGATTGAATCTTGTTTTTTGGTAATTCATTAGTGTACTTTATTCCCTTTACCGAAAATTATGCTGAAAATACTTTCTGTATGTGAGGGGCTACATTGCAATCACTGATAAGGATTGCAACACTGATCAAAGAAAAATAATGGAGAACTGTCTTCATTCTACTAATCTAATGTACAGTTCAAGCCTATGATCTTTCTACAAATTGCCAATTACAAAGTAAAAATTAGCATCATTATAACATTTCTATTTGCCGCGTATGTAGCCCATTGAAACATGGACAAAATATGAAGTATTCATGCAGATAGTAAATATAATTCAAATCAGACCGTTTATTGAGAATTACAAATCGATATTTTAACAAAAAGAATTAAGCGATTAGTTATTTCATATCTTAACTGACTATTGCTTCAACAATAATGTAATTTAGATTACAGTATTTATAATCTGAGTACCAAATTGCTGTTACATTATTTCATTTTAAATATGCAGAGACTTTTAAGATGATAACATTTTATTTATTGTATTTCACTATCCACCATCGACAGCATTAAATAAAATTCAAAGAAGTAGTATCTGATACAAAATAATAATATCAGTGACAGTAAGAATTTGATGTAAACAGTTCATTTGAAAATGAACGAGTAAATTAGAAAGATAAAAAGTGTAAAATGGTATTTCTCAAATTAAATATCTAAGCAAATTACTTAATCTTTAGCCATAAACTAGGTTAGTCTCCCAGATTTCAACCAGGAAATTTGTATCAACAGACAATACTTAGCTCAGTATTGGACGACTTGATGAGTTGTAGCATTGAGGAAAAAACATATTTTTTAAGAATAACACTGTTTTTTAAAGAAAGAAAAGATTGGAGGAAAATTGAAATATAACGAATTTATACGAAAATTCAAAACTTAATTACCTGTAGATCAAGTTCCAACAATCCACAGTTTGGATTTTTTAGAACTCCTGTTAAAATAGCATAACAACCAGCAGTTTGCATTGGATTTCTTGCCATCTGAAAAATTAGATTGTTTTCAAAATTTCAAATTGTGCAGATTACAAACAAAAATCATTGCTCAGGAATTTTCTTCTAGATTTGAACGAAGAGTTTCACAATATATTAGGTACTAAATGAACAAAGGGCATTCAAAAGAAATCATATGTATAAGTCTCAGGGATTGAAATTAAAAATAACGCTAACGTCCAATCCAAGCATCTTCACGGAAATAAACAAAAATCGGATCAGATTGTCAAGTGAGAGTTGTTTTTAATTTCGGTCCCTGATATTTCCAAAATATAATTTCCCTCTAAGTAAACCATTAAATAAATTGAGTTAATCCTAGAGATTTGTTCGATGTAAAAACACAATTGTATTATCACAGTCATTAAATATCACTTAGTGGATTTTGATTTTGTAATGGAACATGGCTGTGTAGTAGCACACATTTTCTGGCTAAGAAAAGTCTATTGTGTAATGGGATATGGATTATAATGAATGTCAGTGTCATATTAGCTTCTGAGAATAAGTTATCATAAATAAGAATTGACTGAGCTAAATAGCACATGACCCAGTACAACAATGCACCTGCCAAACGCACAGTACATCATAAAATTGGATCACAACAAAGAACTACATGTATAATGAAAGTTCCTGAATTATCAGTTTTTGTTTTTCTTCAATGTATGCCGTTGTAAGTCATCATAATCTCATTTTCCTCTGAAAGCGAAGTGATAACAGGAGATCCATGAAAATGGATAATTAAGTGCACGAACAGCTGTAAAATACGTGTACGCTACAGGAGCGAAATACTAGGGAAGTAAATACTGTCGATTTGTAATTCGAAGCACCAAAGAATTAAAAATCATATCTTGTTACTGTATATGTATAAACTTACGAAGGCTATCACATTTATAGTATTTAATTTTATGTTAAAAAGTTATGTACGATAAAGTTTTCAGGTTGACCCAATAGTAAGACAATTCGCCTTTTTAATGTGACCTTATTTTTACTACCATTTTATTGATTGAATAAATTGACTAGATAAAGAGTGTACCTTTCTTACAATTAACCATACCTGAAAACTCAAAAATCATTGCATTCTTGTTCATATTAAAGACTGGAAAGATATTTTTGGTCATCATGTTATTTGCCATGACTTTATTCTAGATATTTTATTTACGATTAACGTTAAGTACTGAAATAAACAACCACTATTACGTGAATCACGTTACAAATCCACATTAAAAAACCGTTCTCCGAAAATCTGATAAAATAAGTGAACAAAACATTATATAACCCTACAGCTGACATTGTTTGCTATAGTTACACTTTGCTGATAAACCAACGCGGCCACGTCTTATCGAGTAGTAAGCTGATCTGAAGTTCTGTCAGGCTACAAAAATTCATCTATTATTCGGTTGAGCAAATAGTGAAATCTGTTGCTCTAATATCTTTGACAAAGCTCTACTAAAAAAGAAGTAATTCAAGTAGATATCTTTTGGAATTAAATCAGTCATTCGACTACTTCATTGAGATTTTATTTGGATTTCTCAATGTAAATAATTGAGAATTCCAAGTTTTTCTACTGGAGATTATTAGCCTTATATTTTTCTATATTTTACTGTTACGAACATTTTAAACTTTATAGTCATTCATAAACAATATGATTTATCTCTGAGATGTTGCATTCTATAACATGGATTAGTTAATCATGAAGCTTCAATTGCCTTCCCTAGAGAAACCCATCAGTCAATACTTTAAAAAAAAAATTATGTTGTGCTCTACTATATGGATAATTAGTCAGTTACCATTGGGGATGATGGTTCAAGAAGATAAAGTATAAAGATATCTATGGAGGAATGCTGGGGCTCAAGATATGTAATTAGATAAATACTAAGTTCATCTAAGCTATATCACTCAAAGTTTTCAACCACTGACGATGAATATTGCGCAGAATCCTATCAGATAGTCTACATCTGGCAACATGGCTCAAAAAGACAGTCAATAATTTCATGACTTATCCAATTTCTTAATTTGGTCGCCCTTTTTATTTCTTCAACCTACTTCTGAAATGTGATAAATGATTGTGCAATAGTGTACATAAAGATGAAGATAGTAATTAATCGGACATTCTTGTAATAGTTTTTGTTTGGAGGTAAGAACCAGTTATTCTATAAAAAAGCTCAGTTATAAAAACTCACTCGTAAACAAGTTAACGTTGAGTTCACATAGAAGCCTTTACTTAGCAATACAGAACCTTCTGGATTTATTCTATTGTCCCTATTTTTTAAAAATGAGAAAATGGAAGGTGGTCACAGAAGAATAGTTATTTTAATAGAATAGTAATTCCATGCTTAACAGTAAACATAAAAGCATCTTCATTTTCTCTATTAGTTTATCATTATGTATGTGTACTTGGTTGTGTCATCAGTGAAAACACTGTACTGAAGACTGGGTATTATAAATGATAAACATTTAAAGACAACTTAGTTTGAATAATGCCATAAGAATAAAAACTTCGCCTCATTGCATTATCCTAATTTATCAAAAGGGGTAATTGTTTTATCAATTTGATCATTATTTTTTGAGTGAGTATAGAAGAAAATATTTATTATAAGTGTTTGTAATTTTATGTACGACCAACGTTTATCTTCTTTAGTCAACAGACAAAACAGCTGTTTGTGAAATACTGCATTAATTTTACAGAATGTAATTCAGTGTGTATTTGACATAATGTACAACGACGCCATTATTCAAGATCATCAAAACACTTCCCATTGATCAAGTGAAAGACTGATATTATTTCATCTAATATGTTACACATGCATTAATGATCATTCCAATTGAATTAAATTAACTATAGGCGATTTTGAAATTCCATCGTTGTTAACAAGAAGACACGTGGGGGCAGTCGGAAGTAACCGAAAGCGAAATTACAGAATATCTCATTAAAATCTGAGAACCATACAGTGAATAGTTAATTTGCAAAATATTAATCAGTTATCTCAAACCTAACTGTTCCTTTTGCAAGCCTCAGTCCATTGTCCCATGTTTTCCTGTTCGTGCATTTTCATACCAGCTGATTTCCGTTCCCGTTGTTTCCTTCTCGATCTTCTACTGAAATACATTCTATTCCTGATCATCGTTATATACTGCTTATATGGATATAAGTAGCTCACAACCCATGATAACCAATCAAGCGTTTCCAAATTTAGCAAAAATATCTATTTTGACTAATTTTTATTGATGTATAAATGTATTAATAAACCAGTAAAGTACAGAAAAATATTTCATCTGTATGATCATCAGAATATCCATAGATATTCAGTTTTGTAACTAGACTGGGTTTGTACAAGGCCCTGAAGATAACATATTACCCTGAAGAATGATAAGTGTCTTCAATCTTCTACAGCTTAATTCAGTTAATGTTGAGTACTTTTAGCAAGATGGCTAGACAGAGAGGGAAGACAACCGATATAAAAAGCTGGTTAACTGACAGTATTATGCTAACAATTTACCTCTATTCAAAAGTAAGCACAATCATAAAAGTAATATGAATGTCAGTTTTCAGCTCAATAAACAGTCGGTTTAATCATAACATCTTATTCATAAACCTATACTAACAATAACTGAATGCACTTCTGTGACTTATTTTATGACTTCATTTAATTCAGTCTAGTGTTTAATGATTACAAAAACAAAGCTAATTATTTTAAATTACTGTTAACACTTTCCTTCGGAATTGAATCAATCGTAAATTAGTGATATCGTAGTAGTATATACGTAAAACAACTTTGTACTACTCAATAAACAACCAATCAATCTGTTAGGGATGCAGAGGAGTATACCAATAATTATCATGTTAAGTCTAATGGTATCCTTGGACTTTAAATCGACATTTCCTATTGGTCAATATTTACTTCACTTGTCAAATATTGTACAAATGTTGTTTCCTATTTTATGGTACGATGTGGTCTGGTTGATTGATGTATAAATAGAGTATGTCTGAAATATAATGATTCATAACTCAGAGGCTAAGATTTGTGTTCTGGACTCAACTGGCTGGGCTAGACAGGGAAGCGCGACCAATCGACACTCTGGGCCGTCCGTACGTGTTTTCCGTGTCACTGAAACGATCGATAAAACGCTTCACTCTAATCTGCAGTCGCACTTCACAACACAATAAAAAAACGTAACTACATTTTAAGCAAATTAAAAGTTTATACTCACTGAGTTTACATTATTTTGTAATTATTATTTACAAATCAGGAATAAAAATCGTAAACCAAAAACATCCTTAACTCCATGGTAATTAATTTAATGAACAATGTACTCGCAGAGTCATTTTTAACTATTATTCACTTATAAGCTAGTTGATACTAGAGATATGTACCGAACAGCAAGTTGATCAGTAATAACTTCAAAATACTAATTTTCTATGATTAATGGTATATTATTTTAATTGAGAATAGTGACTAAATGTTAAATTGGCACCTAATTGTCAATGATTATTCTGAAAACTAAGTGAACATTCATAAAATCTTGTTTATTATGGTAGATATTATAAACTTTTAAATCAAAACAATTTTAATGACTATTAATGTGGAAAGGAAATGTAGAATTGACACGATTGTAAAATGTAAAATACAATTTAATCAAACTTTTAGATATCAAGAATAATTATTCGGAAAACAATTAGGTGGTTGTTGACCTTGGGTAATAAGTTTCAGAAATAGTCAAAATGGTCCGGATGAATTCAGGCTTTATCTTCCTTTGGATCTTGATTTTTAAAACTATCTTATGCATGAACTAACTCTTTCCTAACAAATTTTATTTTGTGTTTATTTTTTTTCTCTCAATATGTTCATTTCGCTGTGATGATGATGTGTTAAAACCTGGCTCGATACATATAGATATCAGGCTCTAAATCGATCAGGACAGACTGACATAACATATACATCGTTTAGTTAAAAACGATTTAACATCTGGAACAAAATTTTATTGATACAAGTTACTACAATTCGTATCAGAACATAGTGAGTATACCACTTACATATAGACATGATATTAATTTCAATAATAATTCATCAAAAACAGATAATAGATGGAAATAATACTTCTTAACAATATGAAATCAATATATTCGTTCACCTTAAATCTAATGTCTCTAGTGTTAGGTTATTTTTCAATGCATAAGCTAAATCTGTACATCCTTTCTTTGGACCGATTCCATTGGCAGATAAGTTGAGATGTTTCAAATTAATATTTTCCTGCAAAGTAAATAATAATAATAATAATAGATAATTAATTATTGGTAAAATTCCAAAATACTTTTTTAGAAAACACAGCCACGAAGCTGAAATTCAGATATTATTGAAAGTTGGTCAACAATCTGTTAAGTAGATGTTATATTTAATGGTACATTTGTGAATACCATCTACATTTATGTACTGATCATGTTATATCATCCTTACTAATGTATCTAACGAATAGCAAATTATGAATTCACATTGAAACTGCTGGACATACAAATATAACTGGTTTTGGCTAGTGAACAGAAAGTGATTAGAAGTAAAGCCACAACACTTTATCATGTTTGACATAATACCTTAAAGTATTCAGTCTTTTGTATAACTATGGAAGCCAACTAGTAATGAGCTTTAACCAGGAAGATATAGAAAAATTGTCCTCTAAGTATATATATGAAAATTTTGTTTTTGTAAAAGTACTGATTCCGTGAGGAAATGTGAACACAGTTAATAAAAAGGTTATAATACTAGATTACGAAATGTGAATAATAACGATAGATTTAGTGGATATAATAAGATGATTTAAATGATTAAAATTACGTAATCTAGTATTATAACCTTTTTATTAACTGTGTTCACATTTCCTCACGGAATTGTCCTCTAAGTGTTCTTAAGGTTTTTTAGCTAACTTCAGTTTTTAATGGATAAAACTTTCAAAGTATTTATAAATGTTTACCAAACCTTATGTAAGCAGTGATGGATAGTGGCTAGCAGTGCAATCCAGGACGCGCGTTTCGTCCTATTTGGGACTCGTCAGCTGGATGTACCTGCATTTCAGAGTTGATGTTCACTCGGAGACTCGAACCCAATAACATTCGCAATACCAAGTAAATTTAAATTCACCCCATCGCGCAAGCAACTGGCTATCAGGATTCAGTAGCTGAGTAGATAACGCGATGGCGTTTGAAGCGAATGGTAACTGGGATCGAGTCCCATAGTGAACATCAACTCTGAAATGCAAGTACATCCAGCTGACGAGTGCAAAATAGGACGAAACGCGCGTCCTGGATTGCACTGCTAGCCACTATCCATCATTGCTTACAAAAAGCTTGTGAATTAAGGTAATACTGAGGCATACGCACAGTATGCACATATGTCAATAAGAGACTGATCAATTGCAGTCTTAAACATCAATCGGAAGACACAAGCCAAACAATACCAAGTGAATGTTTACCGAACTATTTTAAAAATTAATAACTTATTACTTAGGAGAATATGTAACTGCATTCCTAAGATTAATACAAAGAATATGAGAAGAAATTCTATGTATGTTGCTCGAGAAAACACAAAATTCTTATTCACCGCTAACTAACTGATATGTTTTTCTAAGACACAACGTTGAACCAGAGTTTAAGACAGTGCATATTAGTCTTCACATCGATCAAAAAAAACTGTTAATCATTTAGAAACAATAGGAAAGAATTATAGTGTTATAATAATAAAATTTGACTCGGTCTGTTAGTTAATAACTCAGGTTACCACTGAAATCCTCTCATAGCTTATAATGAAGGCCGAGTCACATCATGAAAAGAAGTATTGATTGCAACTGTTAGGAAAACGTGAGTACACGACTCAGTAATTTACTGTTTTATCAGCTGATACAACTAAATCTCGTAACGGTATGAATAGCGTGCACACATTCAGTTATTAATTATTGCACATCAACTATTACCTTGTCCAATACATTTGAATTTGTATGTTGACCCGATATGAAAATCATACATAATTCAATGTACTTTTGTCAAGGTTTTTAATCAGTGGATGATTATTTGTGGACTTATGGTTAAGGCATAAGTAAATTCTTATCCCTAGTCTTGCCTTCTTCCTTATGTTGTACAGTATCAGACTTCGTCTCGTCATATAATAGCAAGATAATTTGTTGTTTTTGCAGGATATTACCAAATAGCCATATCAGTATTTTATCGACCTACAACAGTGGTTGCTTCAAAGCGTCAAATATAAGTTGGCTATTCAGTTCTCTTCAAAATAAGAATGATATAATGAATAATTTTAAATTTTACAGGGGGTGACTTTGAACGTTTTTAATAACTCGATTTCTAAACGAAGTTATCAGTACAAGTTTCTATTGAAAAAGTAAATAATATGACAAGCGAATTTTTATTGATCGCAAGTAAATCTTATTTATCCATAAGATCAAGTAGTTTGAAAGTTACGGTCAATTTCATAATTAATTTTCACAGATAGTTAAGCATATGTATATAATACAAACTTTCACTTTCGATTTCTAAATTGTCCTGATCCTATACTTGTGTTATTTTTAATTGATTTTGACTGCTTTCATTAATAAATTCAAGTCCGTTCTATGAGTTGAATAGGTAGCCGACTCATTTTTTTCTCCTGTCGCTTTCTCTGCCAAGTTTTATTCCATGTTCTCCTTTCATACAACACATCTTCAGGTTAGACATGAACGAATACATCTGAATCTCATAGAGGCATCTACTACCAGGGCAAATTCAGTCATCTGGTCGAGTTGCAAATAGTATATATATAACATTTCATTTTATCGATAGCAATATTAATTCTGTTAGTTACAGAAGTGAAACGTTGGAAAGACAGATGGAGGGCATCAGTTACATAATTTATGCTTATCTCATCATTTGATGAACTATTCCAACTAGAAACCAAAAACTGTTTACAAAAATTGTCCGTTTTATTTTGTTCATTAGATAAAATAATCAAGTGTACTATTTCCTGAACTCACAGATGTTTAAAAATATCGACCATTGAACACCTGAATTAACTTATTACTGTAAAATGACCATTGTCAGACTAATCTAGTCTCTAGTGTTAACAAAATTTTATAGATCAGATCGCGATACGACTAGTTATCTTTGTTTCAATAGCAAATGCACAAGGTGATAATATTTGGTGATTTATGGCAGTCGGTAGAAAGTCTAGAACTAAGGCTTCCTACTTGTTGGAACTTGTCAGTACGGCGTATAAGTAGTCTAAAAGGAGCTGGTGTTTATCGTTAGATTCAAACCTATGTCACTCAGCATCATAGTAATAAAATTCAGCCCTGAGTTATTGGGGTCACCTTGGTTCCTGCCGTGTCAAAATGCTAGGACCATGATATCCTACAGTGTCCTCCCAGTTACTTAACATGGAATCTCCAGCTTACACATTATTTAAATATGGTACCAAAGATCTTGCAGAAAATGAGATATCTTTAGTTCTTTTAATTTTAGAAGTGTTTGTAAGGAAGAATAAATACACAAATAATCAAAAACAGTCGTTCGACGGAAATTCTATATGAATTGACAACAAAAAAGGAGTTGCAGAATGGAAAATGTCCTTAGAACAATTAAATTGAGATTATTTTATCCAACTGTACTGATCACGACTTGAAATTACAACAAATAAAAATTTAACAGCAAAATAAAGTGAACTTACAGCTAGACCTTTACCAAAAATATTCATTTTTCCCCTTCCCAATCTATTCCAACTTAAATCGAATTCTGTTAACGTTGTCGCTTGTGGCAATGCTCTTCCAATATATTGACAAGATAATTCACCCAAATCATTATAAGAAATATTCATATACTTCAATTTTCGTGTAGTCTAAAATCAATTTTAATACAATCTTATAAAAAGTACAAGAAAGTTTCATGTTCTTAATGTTAAGTGTAAAACTTAAGTTAAAGTTACTAAAGTCATATTTTTTCTTCACGGAACACTCATAGATCGATTGAACCAAGATAAGGACAAAATTTTCAAAGCTATTTGTCTTTCTTACTCAAATAAATCAAACTTTATTACAGCCTACTAATTTTTACGTTCATCAGTGGCAGTCATTAAGAATCGAAATTAAACAAGGAGCGTGACTAACTGTATGTCTTTTACACGTCAATATTTTATTTACAGAATAATGAGTAAAATGCAATGAACAATGAGTGCAGAGAAACAAGACACTACCACAAAGAACCAGTAATCTATAAAACATTAATTCCTAATGTAGCTGCAACCAGGTATTTCCAATTTCGCTCATTATTTGTGCAGACTACTATTTAGTGATCAGTAATATAACAAAACGAAGATGGTATATTACCATACATAAAGAAATAACAACAAAAAATATTTGGGTATAATTTAGATAAAATATGTTTACTTGAATGGCTTCATTACTGGTCTTAACAGATACTGTTACTTTTTGTTTGTCTATGCTAATACACAAGATGGTGCTTGGAGGCAGTCGACAGGAAACCCTGGGCCTATGTTTCGTTTCGTACCTGACACACCATCCAGTGATCGATCAACTTTAAAATGATAATATATCAAATACATAAATTTGGCACTGACTAGTTTTCATATAAGCATATTTTAATTTGTGAAATCTTCGTAGTTTAAGCCAATAACTGACTTTAGCTGGACCACCACTGAGAGCCTGAAAGCAAAGGACTGCAGTCCCATCCTAGAACAGGACCCCCGGCAGTGCAAATTCACAACCTTCATCAGGGTAAAGACCCCAAAACCTTCGATCTTGCTGGCAAACACTTAACCTCTAGATCAGTGAGCCTGCATCCAGGGGTGTTAATGTAAAATTCCAGTCGATTTATGGTATTTTTACTTAACACCGAGTTAAAGTTTGAATTTTCCAACACCTGTAATTTTTAAAAATGATTTTAATAAATTTAAAATATTCAGGAATCAAATCTAGTCATATCCAAAAAGTTAATTCGGATTAGCCTGAAATCAGTAGTTCAAAGTGAAATGTTAAAAGATACCAACTCGAATATTACAAAGTCCTACAACTGCCTTATCAGGAAATAGAATTTTATGATTAAATTTGAAGGTTCTTTTTGAGCTTACTTAATCAAATGGCACTAAGTATAGTAAATTATCACATCATTCCTTTGACCACAAATAACAGATTGAATGATTTTATCAAAAAAGTTGATAATTATGTTATTCAATTAAATATGAATATTTACTTACCGTAATCAATTCTGAAAAAAATTTTCCAGAAATGTCATCGAATAAATTTTTCCTTAAATTTAGTTGCAAGAGTTCTGTTGATAACGCGAGTGTTTCACAAAGGTACTCAGCTGATTTAGAAGTTAGGTGATTTTCAGATAAATTTAGATTAGTTATAAAAGTATTCTCTCGAAGCATATGACATAAATGATTAACACACTGAAAATTAACACAGCAATACAAGTTAATAAATGCTAATCACTGGAATCGGCAATAACTAAAAAGAACGAAGTAGTATTAAAAATTAACTGGTTAGTAATTCAAAATGATGTGATGGATAAAATAAAGCTTAATAGTCAGGTCTTAGTTTTAATGTTGAGGATTCCGATTAATAATATCGTTCAATCGTTTTTAACATCCAACCATGTGCATTTTCTAGTGAATACACTAATCATAGATTCGTTATTTTACTAGATAAAAGACCAGTTCATCTAGCCAGTAAACGTAGCTTTAGTTAGCGTTAGTTGGTTTGTGACATTTGATTAGTATTTTATTACCATCAACAGTTGCCCCTCTGTCATATTGTGTCATTGCCTTCTTTTTATGGATCAGCATCCCAAACATTTATCTTAAATTACTTCAAACTATCTAGCATTCATCACATCATGACTGATAATGATTGTACCGAATCAAAGAAGACGATATAAAAACATATTTTAAGATTAAACGCCTGGAACTGCTCGTGAGAACTAGTGCATATACCAAAATGAAAGTAGATTTCATTATGCTACTGTATTCAACTCAAGCGCATACGGGGATTAGGTAGCAATATTTAAAAGAACTTTTGTCAACTGATATTTTTATTTCTAAAACGGAACTTAGTTGTACCGCTTAAATCTAAAATTCTTAATTCTAATCGGTCATTAAAACATTATGGTGGCAAAACATGAACTAAAAACTATGGAATATATGTATATTCGTATTTCATTTAACTCAATATTTTTAAATTCTATTTAAATCTACAAGTCTTTATACTGATCATCGTTTGTAATATATGTAGCATGAAGAGTGTGAATTGGTGACTCTGATTTCAGATAACAATAAAAGTGAACTTAATAGGGTGTAGCTATTAAAAAAGTCAAAATTTATCTGGATGTGAAGTCACATTCTCATGAGAAATGTATTAACTTATCATCCGAACCAGAATTTGGGAAAAAGATAGTTCCTAACTTACACTCCAAATTTGCCTTAATAACTGAGAAACGATTAAATGATGAAAGATCCGAGGACTGCAACTCAAATATTGCCTACCTAATTGACAGCTGACTAACGTACAGGGTTATTTTCCGAAAAATATTTAAATTTATCTACTTAGCTTATTCTTTTAATTTCATCAGTCAAAATTCCCTCTCTACACAGCACTCTTAAATCAACAATACTCACCTTATGGTTCGACCATAAATGACCATCTTTGATTAACCACGCAGAGCACACCTATATCTCCTAATTTTATAAACTAGAATCCATAGTCAAAGAGTAATTATGAGAAAACCACCGTTAAATTTATCCTTATATTGGTTGAAGGACGAAACTTTGACTACACTACAGGTCTCAAAAGTTGTTTAAATTCAAGTGGGCCCACTGCATCGTCCCTGAGAATTAGTTGGGAACCAAACCAGTAGTGCAATGGGCATTTTCAAAATAAATAAATGAGTCAACGTAAAGTGATGGCTATCAAAGAGCAAGAAGTGTTCAGACAATGGTGAGTCATTACCACGGGAGGACAGATACTGTACATTAGAGCCGGGTGGGGAAGTATGAGTTACCTGATCGAGGTCCTTCAAATATATTTAGTTTTTATTCATTTTGTGATTACCAGTGGCTTAATTTGTTAATCCAGATTAGCATGACGAGACTAAAATAGCAAATGTGGTCGAACTAATGCAGTAGCGATGATAAGATGAAAGACCGACCGCTGGAAATATGATTTGAAAAGACCGAGTTGAAACGTATGCATAAGCGAATATGGAGATTGAAAATTATGATAACAAACAGCGAGTGCATCTTCACCATTATGAACGACCGGTAATTATGTCAATTACAGTTTCCAACCACTGATCACGGTCATTGCGCAGATTTCAATCAAGTTGTTTGTATTTGTCAACGTTGCTCACATCAACAGTTATGGTCTTAATCGATTGATGTCACCTTTTTGGTTTGGCTGCTCCTAGCTTTCGTCTACTCTCTCCTATACTAGAAACCACGTCATCAATATATTCGAAACCCAAGGATTTCTTATTTGGTGGCCCTAAATTACACGAGGAATGCTTCAGAAAAACCTGTGGTCAAATATTAGTGACCTACAAATGTCCATTGCTCTGAATAACCATGTTTCAAACCCATTGAGTAAAACTGAATGAACTACTGAGCAGTAAACTCGTCCTTCGGTTGAAAGGCAGCTTTCTCACTGACTTAATGGACGATTCAAGTTAACAAGCAGCAACGGGGTTTTGTTTTGTGTAAAAATTCCACAGAAGCTAACTCTCTTACGCTGATCAGACCTCCAAAATAGGCGAAGCGGTCGACTCACCAAATTATTTTGCTCCTGATCCTTAGTATAAGGGTTGGTGAAGACCAGATATGAAAATATCTTAAGCATGACAGTACTGTTGCTCAAAGCGATCCCAAACCTATGCATTCTTTTTAGCTTCCTGACCAAACAGAATTATATCACGAGAGTATTCTTATTCTATGAGTGGACTTCTGGGTGGGTTAGAAAACTTTGAAAAACTGGGCAAAGGAAGTTATTTTTCAGTAAGATGTCAATGAACTAAAAAATTGGATAGCACGCAACTGTAGCAAACGCCACTTAAGGTTGAATTTTTTGGAAACAGCTGGCCATGAGCTCTGCCTTAACCAAAAGCATCAAGGTGGAGATCCTACATAATGTTTATTAATTGATTTGGTAGGCCTTTCAAATGAAAACACTTCCATGAAACTCCTTGGTCAATAGAGTCAAAATTCTCACAAAAGAGGAAGTATTCGTTTTTTTTAAATCAACCAATTTCTTAATATTTGCACGTAAAATATTACATTTGCTCCTCTGGTTACTTAAAATGAGTAAACTGTCAAAGTCAGCCATTGCATTTATATCTGTGTGAACTACTAACCTTGTGGACGATTTAGATACATCAAGTTGAGTAATATAGCATCCAGTACTTAGAAGTTACTGGTGTGAAAGTTGTTACAATGCTTTTTGGTACAAAGTTTTTCATCACAATGGGCTGAATATATATGCAAAACATTTCATGGCTTTATATAAGATAAACTCGAGTTCAAATCCAAATAACTATAAGAACAGATTTAAGATATGAAAGCTGGAAATAAGTCACACACAACATACTTAACAATGGTTGTTAGTAAAAATATTACTGACTATCTAGCTTGTATGTCATTTTCAGGACTAAAATGGCAAAATAGTCATCCTTATAAATCTAACGAAGAACTACGGCGGAAATTCCCTACATTTGGAGCGCCAGAGTCCTTTTCACCTTACAAAAACAACACTGAGAAAACTGCAGGCTGAAAACAGAAGTAGTGAGTTCAGAATTTGTAACATATGAGTAAGTCCGTGGGCAGATGACAACGGACCTAACTTTAACACTTCAAAGTGTAAAGTAGTCCATCTGAGACATGTTACAGACTACATCTACAACTTGAGAAACTCCCCTGTAGAAGTATCCCAAGTTGAAAAGTATTTAAGAGTGGTGGTACACTACAATTTGAAGTCTTAAGCTAAGTGTGACAAAAATGCTTTTCGAGCAAACCTTGCACTGGTAACATTAAAGCTCATTTTTGGCCAGTTTGACGGGAGAACTTTCCACATAATCTTCAGCAGCTTTATTCGTTCCCATTTAAAGCATGGAAACATAGTATTTCCTACTTCACTTCAAAAGGATAAAGACACTCTGTAGCATATCCAACTGCGAGTCACGAAATCGGTCCGTTGACTCAAATTCAAGCCTTACGAAGAGCGCCTTCAATCACTTAACCTTTACTCATTAGAGTATAGGCATCTTAGAGGTGACCTAACGGTTTACAGTATGCTTGACACTTCTGGACATCCCTTTAAAAACCCTCTTTTAGTTTAGCTCCAACACAAGCCTAAGGGGTAACAACCAGAATTTAGCGACAAAACATAGCATAACGGACTGAAGACACAATATCTCCTTAATAGTTGTCAAATGCTGAAATTCGCTGCCGGCTGAGCTATTTTAAGTGACTTCCCAGAATTCCATTAAGAGGAAACTCGACCTATTTTTAAGGACTAAGGATAATATCTTACTATGATTTAGCAATTTATTTTTTTCTGTTATCGTTTATACACCTAAATTTCTGCCTGGAGGTATTGGTGATACACTGCTACTAGACGCGGAAGCCCGTTAAGCAAAAGCTTCCTCTATTTCGTTTACAACCGTTTGAACCATTTTGCAATAGCGAGTTTCTTAAAAGGACAAAGCTAAATGGTTTGCAAACAAGCTATCCAACTACTTATAAATCTTCGCACACGTCTCGGTACTGCTTTGTTGAAGTTCCTTGGATACGGAATAATTATTGTGATATTCTGTTACAAGGCCTGTGAGCTTAATCGAAACAAACGTTATGAGGAAATATTTAAAAAATACCAACTGAACTTGATTTAAAAACCATTTCCATGCATCAAATCTGCGTTAAACATGCGTGTGCAGAATTATTACCTCATCGTTAAGACAGGTGTTCGTAAGATCTAATTGAGTTATGTTCAAACTGTTTGAAATGCTCGAAAAAATTGGCTTGAGTTTTTTAAGTCCTAAAACGCTATATTTCAAGCTTATGCTCTCGTCCTTTAGATGGCGAATGAAGTATCCTGATGGCAAAGCTCCGCGTAACCTGCAATCATTTAAGTATTCTAATTGATCTGGGTCAGTATACCAGTGATCTATATTTCAGAAAAAGTTTACTACAACAGCAATACCTTTTGCTGACAAAAGCCTTTTGCATCTTTTTATATGCGAATTGCCTGCCAACTTTGATTGTTCCTTGCTTATAGATTTATCATTCATTGTGTTGGCGAAGTTTGTACTGTCAATCTGATCTACAACAAAGGCAGTACTAGGAATAACAGTATTTTCCTCTTTCTGTTCGGTAGAATGTTTTCCATGATTCTGTTCGTCTATCTCCATGAAAATATGTTATCAAAATGATAATTTTCTTATGACAGTACAAAAAAGGTAAAAAACTCGGCAAGCCTGAGACGTGAAACTGAAAGCGAAAACAAATAGCAAAATCAAATATTTGACAATGGTTGCTACGACATTATTGTTCTAAACAAAATTGTATTTATTTGTTTAGTTGAGAATATGTTTAATATTTTATTTTACTTACATTTAATATTTTACATTCAATAATAGGACTTTACAATTTTGGCAATTATTTAAAATATTCGGTTCATTGTCCTAACATGTTTAGCTTATGGAAGCTGTTTGATGAATCGACTTAATGAAAAATAGAAGCAGCACATCAGGGGATGAAATAGAACAAGAAATTTCATGTAGCACAAGTTCGAAGAGGAGCGGTTTTGAATATGTTCGTATTAATACCCCTTCGCAGCTAAAAGATGAATATGACATTGGTCCAGTTATCGGTGAAGGTACATTTGGCATTGTTTATCATGCTTCGAGAAAAACTGATGGTGTGAACTGTGCAATTAAGAAAGTAAGTACGGCTAGAAGCTAGACGTATTGTTTGTCATCACATATATATACATGTGTTTTGATGAATTGTAAGACATTACTAATCTTCCTTGCACCAATACTTGACATCACATGACACCTGACTTTCAAAGAGTAGATACGTAATTCTAGTTTTTAGGCGTTTCGTGTGACAATTTATTATTCACTCATTTGTAAAGCATAACGGTCAACGACTATCCTGAACTAGATGTGACCATATTAAGCCACACATACGATCAAATAAGGTAAACAAATTTCGTCTGTCATTTGAAAGTTCACTTTCGCGCGATAAGAAGCTAGCATATTTCATGTGCTTGTTTTTTTAAGGTGGTGATACTTTTAATCAATGATATATTACGATTTATATAGACTTCCACAAAAATCTATATAACCTTGGAATTTTCAGCAAATTGTATCTATTATTTTAATTTTCAGTGTGACCACGCCTTTATATCAATCTATAAATCAACACCGAAACTTATTTGAAACATATGTGAATAAAACAACTATTCCAACACAAAGAGTCGCATCGAAATACTTCATTAAATCAAACTTACAATACTGCCGGACCTATAATTATCAATTGCTTGGTTTTTATTTTGTGTTTACGGATGATGTTTCATAAAAATAAGTTGTCCTGTAATAAAGGCAGATACGATATGTAAACACCAACTGTTAATAAAAAGATACAATGTAGTATGAAGATCTTTTACCATATGATGTCAAACAAATTTTATTTACAGAAAGACATAAGAGTTCTTGACGGTAATCCTTTGGTTTCCTATAGAATTTTGTATAAACTCTCGTTTGTTGCTTGCTCCCGGTTAGTCCTATGTGAATCAGGGGTGAAATTTAAACTCTTTTTCACAGTGCCATTAGGAAAACTCGCTCCAAATGGCTCCGATTTTCCAAATTACCACCACTTTGGGTGACTTGTTTGTCTTATACCATTTAAGCGGGTGAGATAATAAAAAATATGATGAGTTCCAGTTTTTTGCATAGAAGTGAAGGCAATTTCCATCAAATGGGAACTGTGCAACCGTCACTGTGACAGCACCACAAATTGTTCACCATTAGTAAGATTACCTAGTAAACGACATGAATTTTAGGCTTGACATAAATTTTACACCGCTCAATATCAAATATTACCGAGTTTTATTATAATGAAACTGACCTTCTGACTACTTGTAAGAAGAAGTCTTTCGAATTTGGACGACTTTGGGAGTTAAATTGCATCACCCAACCACTGGTGGCTCATAAATTAACTAAGTATTCATCTTATTTTTCAACTAAGTATATTTTTCTGGTTTGTCTCCTGAATGCTATTTTGAGGAATGAATGTTAGTTGGATAGATAGTTTCAGAACTTGTCAACATTCAGTATTCTGATTTTATCTAACTTAACTTCCACTTGAATAAGTAATATTATGATATATAACTGGCAAATTGTCTAGTTAAAGGTGGTTGTCTGTTGCAGTTTATAGTATACATTAATGTAAAACCTAGTATCTTATCCCCAGCATATGACATTATTTTGTTTATCTCCTTTGTTTTGTCTAGATTGATTAAAATAGTTTATGAGATATGTATAATAAGATCTAATAAAAAAACTTGTTAATTGCCAGCTCCACTTTTAAACATTAAATAAACTACTACTAGCTGAATGTACATATTATTGACTATTTTAATTGAATTTGTGTAGCAGTAATATGGAATGGTCTATTAATGGAGATTTCTAAAAATGGACAAACAATGCAGTTTATACTTCTGTCAATACTTTTCAAAAGTTTAAACAGCTTAGAAAAATGCACTAAAACTTGGCCGAAGACTTTAAATGTAATAACTAAAAGTCTTTCTCAGCAGTGCCGACAGACTCACTCTAGTTCTTCTAGATTTTGAATTCCAACATTCTTTCGTGTACACCTTCCCATTTCGTCCTTTTAAACCCTACTATTATTGCTTAATCTCCTTCATTGTTGTTACTGCTATGTTTTTTATTTTCCTTTTGTTTTGTATTTTGTTGACTTTATCTAGTCCTAATGATTTACGGGACTTAAGTCAACTTATATCTATTTCAGGCTTTGTGTTGATAGTGACTGAATCAATATTATACGTCATCAAATACTTTTCTATTGTCAAGCAAATTCACCATTTTGGCATACAGTAATATTAATAGTCATGAATACTACTCACTACTTGATTCATTTATTTGTTAACTAAACAAGTAAAACTTATGGCGGTTTGTTGTAACGTTTATAATTTAGACTTCAGAATAATCAACACACCACAGATTTGTGTGGGAATGCGTATTGATTCGATTACATATCCCTGTTTAACGGTGATTCGGTACTATATATCTGATTTGCAAGTATAATTAGTTTATTTTTAGTTTAGTGTGAACATGTGTGCTTTTATTCATTAATTATTAACTATGGTGACAAGTTTATCTAAAAGAAATCTCATAACTTTGGTCATTTGCTCCATTTGTTTGATTATGAATATAACCGCTTGCTATGACTACGCATATAACTGACCTAATTATTATGTAGTGTTTTTTCTGTACACGATGTCAGCGTGAAGTTATTTTGAACAAACTTGTCATGTGATAGTCATTTGGAGTTTGTTTGCTTAGTGCGTTCTTACAACTTCAGTCAATCAGTTATATTTAGCGCGGAACCCGATTTTTTCTTAATGAGTAAAAGTAGGTCAAATACCTTATATTATACCGAAATTTTATCACTTAAGAAGCAGTTTACTTCATTCGACTCACCTCAACTAGATAAGTATTTAAAACTGACGAGCACGCTGGACGTCTGTCCAATCATAGTATATAACTTTTCAGCAGACTACATCTACTACCTAAATTCAAGTCAGTTTACGGCATAAATCATTTTTAGGATGAGTAATCTCCACTATCATACCGTGCCAAGTATGCTTGTTTCGGTCTCAGTCAAAATGAGATATCATCAGGTGACTGCTTTATTTCTTAAATGCATAAATAAATCGGTATTCTTAAATCCATAACAACCTATTGTATCAAAAACTCGACATTCAAACTTACATACATAATCGTTTTTTCATTTAATGTAATCCTTCAATTGCTGTTTCACTCTATTACTATTATTATTAAGAACTGAATCCATTTTAGGGAAAATGTTAGTGAAAATTTTAGAGTTTTGTAATCACTCAATAAATAAAACTTTTTAGTCCAATATTCACAAAACTGTTCCAAGTCTCTCACACAGGTTAATTTGTGAGCGGTGTATTAATCAAAATTTATCTCTTAATCTCAGATAATTAAAAAAAACAATTATTTAATATTTCACATCATATAAATCAAAACAATATAATATAAGCAAAAAGTATTGTTTCCAATTAAATTATCATTCTTTACTTTCTAATATAGAGTAATATTTCCATGTATATGTGAAATACTAAATCAATCAACGCACTTTGTCAGTCTATGAAACAAATATATTACTTAACTGATCATATTAAGTAACAAATATAAAGTAATAATGAGATGGCAGGTGTGGTAGTCATGATTATTATAATAAATAATATGAACAAATATTTTGGTAATGGGATCAGAATTAAACTTCCTAAAATTGACTTTGATAAATTATTTTATATGAAATGTATGAGTTGTTAATCATTTTAAGTATGTCAGAAGTAAAAACAGAGATATAAATGAAGTGAACAGAGGAAATCAAAAAAGGGTAGACAGCATTGATGAGAGTGTCCGTCAGTTTTCCTTTAGCCGAACGAAAGACAAAGGTATAATAAGCTTCTTTAGAACGGAAAAATCAAGGGTTGTCTACTCGAATCTTTATAGCTTTTGCTTCCTAATAGATATGAGATCCGATCTCATTGGGAGATATTGAAGGCGTTTGATTAGTCACTTTGAGTCATGTGTGTCAAGCTAGCAACAATTTACGGATGACAAATACGTGTAACGTCATTTTTATTACCACTTACTACTACCACGTAGTAGCACTTTTGTTTAAGAAAAAACCGCCACATCCCTTTAGAAACAATATCTTTTTTTAGATTAAAATTGGCTTCATATCTTTAACGTAATATCTTCAATCCCTTTTTTTCATTGTCATTGTAGATTTCACGCATAAACTCCTTCTCTGCAAGCGAGCGTGCTCGTTTAGATCGTGAAATATCTATATTAAGACATGTTAAACATCCTGGAATTATAAAACTTTTATCTGTTGCTGAATCACCAAAAGTTATATTCCTCATAACTGAATTATGTGAAGGCAATTCACTAGATCATTATATGAAACAATTACCAGAAAATACTGGGCTACAAGAATATATTGTGGTAGCTATTGTAAAGCAAATAGCTTCAGCTTTATCTTATTTGCATAATCGAGGTATTGTACATAGAGATTTAAAACCTGGAAATATTATGTTATTAAACAAAGTAGAATTAGATTTTCGTACTATACCTCCGGTGAACTTTAAGTTAAATTTTAAATATTCATCGGACAGTAGAATAATTTCTTTCGATTCTCTTATTAAGCATCAAAAACCTGAAAATGAACACATCGAGGTGCATAATGACTCGTGTTCCAGTCACAGTGGTACACGATCAGAAATAACAACGACGACAACAATAACAACTGAAACAATATGTTCATCTGTATTTACTCGAAATAAATCAGTAAATTCAAGCACAAAACCATTGCCTGTTTGCTGTAGACATGATTCTACATTATTAGAATGTAATACAAAAACAAATCATAATTCAAACATCCAACCTAGAATCCCATCATTTCAACTTGATGATAATTATTGTATAAATGTTGAAAATAAATATCCACCTAAAGAATTACAAACGAAATTAATTGATTTTGGCTTAGCCATAGAGGTACGCAAAAGTGAAGAAGTATTAGCTAATCCATGTGGTACACTATTGTACATGGCACCGGAAGTATTGAATGGACGATCATATACACGTCAATGTGACTTATGGAGTTTAGGTGTCATTATCTTTATATTATTAACAAATCAAACACCATTTAATTCACAAAATGAAAAACAGTTAATCAATGAATTAAATCAACCTAATATACAAAAGATAATAGAAAAATTAGGCAATTATATAACATCATTATGTAAAGAATGTTTAATACGTTTATTAACTGTTGATCCAGCTTATCGTTTAACCGCTAATCAACTTCTAATTGATCCATGGTTATCATTTTATCCAGTACATAATTCAAATGAAATAGTGAATAATAATTTGAATGCATCTAAAAAAGAAAAGGAATATGAACAAATGAATTTATCAACAATTCATTCACTTAATAATTTGCCTGGAAATTCTATCACAGCATCTTCTTGTAGTAGTAGTAGTATTAGTAATATTAATAAATGTGTTTCTAGACCATCATCATTTTCTCGTTTCAAGACAACTGATAAGTATTCTACAACGAATGTACTTGAATTAATGAAACAATATCATAAAGAATTGAATAATTGTAAGCAAAATGTTGAGAAGGTGAATCAATAAGGATGTCTATAATTCACATCATAAATATCAATTGATCAATAAAATGTAATGATTATTATTAAAGATTATTCAGTTCATTATTATTATTATTATTATTATTATTATTATTATTATTATTATTATTATTGGTCTATTTGAATATTGTTTAATGCATAGAAGGATTTTTTCAAAGTTCAATTTTAGTGAATTTACTTTCAATGTCCAATGAAAATTTATTTTTACAAAGTCGATCAAATTGTAAATGACTTGTAATATAAAATTTCTATTCAACTGGTTGAGTTACATTTGTTGTAACGTTTCAATTTATTTTTAGATTTATCAAATACTAATTTATATATATATATATATATATATATATCTTCATCATGAAGGGAATTTCAATGTTCTCCCAGTTTTTTTTTATCTATTTATTTATTTATTTATAAATTTCAATGAAACAAGAATAACAACTGTAGTAGAATATAAATGATAATTTATTCATTTCACAATTACTCTTCAGTTGCTTACAGCTTAAATACAATCGTATTCACTTTATATATATGAAAAAGTGTATATGTACAATTGATAAGTCTTGCGGATTGAACGCTATATTCGTCTCCTAAGCTATTCTGTAACCCCCAAGCTAGAACTAGAAAGCGACCTGAACACGAGAGAGAAGACTCAAAGTATGCGAGAAGTAGTTTTTCTCCAAGGTTCATTTTAATACACAAAATACAGGGTTTTTTTATAATATTTTAAATGTCCTTGGGTTGCTAGAAGATTCTGGAATGCTACTAAACATAGTAGCAGTGTAGCAGCCAACCAATCAGAGCCTCTGAATGTGAAGTTTCGCTTCCTTGATATTTTTGGCCAAGACTCCAAGTGAACGCTGATTGAATGAAAGGCCTCTTAGTATTTCCTGATGCTTGATTGTCTTTTGCAAGCAATCTTCTGGATCACCCCAACAGCAATCATTATACCAGGTTTACAGAGAAGCATTAACCGAACTCAATAATAAAATATAATTAGATTAATAAAAGCCAATATCTATGAAAATGTCAGCTAGAATCCATTATAATTTTTTAAAACATTTACCTTTTACCAATAATCTATCTAACTATAATCTACCTGCTTCAGTAAACATAATATGCAGTGTTTATGCATCCTCATTTTTTTCTAAATAGTTATTACTACTGTATTTAAGCTGTGAGCAACTGATGCATATCACTGAAATAAATCAAGTCTTTTTATTATCATGTTACTATAGTTCTGTTTTTGTTGTTGTTGGAATAGTTTTTAGAATGTATATATTTTAATGAGTTAGATAGCGCCATAAAGTTAATTCATTTATTTATTTATTTAAAATTTATTGTCATCATAATAAGAAAGCGGTAAGTAAATGTGCTTCATTCACTCTTTAAGAATAATAACATATTGATTATTGTATTAGTTATAACATAATGAGGCTTTTATTTTGTATTATCACTTGTAACATTCTTAAACCTCAGATATCGCTATTATTTATACTTTTTAGCGGTGTATATGTTCGTCGATTCATCTGTTTTTTTTATAAATTGAAAATATTTTTTTTCATGATAAAGAAAATTTTGTAGGTTAAGTTATTACCCATGGTAAAAGAGTATTGTTTGGGCTTTATGGATTTGATTGTTGTATTAAAAAGCATTGCTAGTGCTTACTTGAGCAATAAGACTAATTCTATTTTAAAAACTTTCAGTTAATAAACATTAAAGTTTTAATAAAAACCTAGTACACTGGACAGCCAATTCGTTCTAACTTAGGACTCCTGGGTTCAATCCCCGTAGCAGGCTCGTGTATGCACACTGCTCAGGAGTCCCAAACTGAGACGGAACAGCTATTCCGTGCTACCTGGTTTCCTATGATACTTTAACTAAAATCAGAGAGTTCTGTTAGAGGTATGAGGGCGGTTATCACTTCCTGGTTGCCCACACCGTGGAAGGGTTCTCCTGGAGTCACCTGAAAATGAGATTGGATTAGAGGTGGTTTTAGTGACCTGAAAGCGTGACCTCAGTGCTCAAGGGACAAACGCTTGAAGTCGGTCACACACCACCTTTTTATGAGTAATTTTTGTGTTAGTGCCGTACTTGTTGAGACCTTCCCGCCGGAGATGGATATCCGTGGGACAAGGCGATGCGTGCATTTTTAGGGTCTACCTTTTCTAACCCCACCCGTCCTTGTGGGAAGGCAGCATCGCTGTCATGCTGGTTGTCTGAAGGAAACACGTTACTGCTGTCACACCTCTGTACATTCAGCAGTACGAGTTCGCCATCAGACCTTGTGTTATCTGCTTTTAGTCTTACCGCTCTTCAACCAACCTGTCTGGCGTTGTAGGACCTTGAGAAACGACTGTTCCAGCCAGTATAGCTCGATTAATTCAAGCCTGATCACCATATCAAGGTAGCAATCTGTAATAAATACAACCTACAACTTAAACCAATCTCTACGAAATCTCCCTAAATAAAATATGAAAGTAACTATAGAATAAAATAATAATCATTATTGAACTTTGCTTCAAATTGATGTTTATCAATGTTGAATCAATGTGTACAGGAATAATAGATTGAATATACAATATTTATAAGATGGAATTGTAACCATTGTAATATACCACGTAAGTTTCCCTTATTCACTGTTTAATCATCCAAGTGAGTAAAGAAAAATAAGATTTTTTGTTCATAAAAACACTATGAAGTTATCATTGATTTACTTGATTAATTTATGTGTAAATATTATTTACATATTTATTATAATAGGTTTTATTTCTTAAACTATTACTTCCTTATCGGTAATTTCTGTTACACCATCTGCAAAAAATTAGGTCGAAAGCTTTCAATTACACATTTCTTTAGGTCATCAAAATACAAAGAGTTATATTTAACTATTTAAAACTATAAACGAAATATATAAGTAGAGTGGATAGTTTATATCTCATAGAAAAACACCTGTTCTTTAAAATATTTCAAAAGTATATCCGCAACAATATTTATGGTAACATTCAAAGATTCACCATCTAGCCTACTAATTTCCTTCAGTAGTCTATGTAGCAAAGCAAAATATTGTCTCTAAAGTTCAAGTAAAAGCAATAGAGAACAGTATGTAATATTAAGTAATTTAGAAGAATGAATTAATCCTAAAAGTGACTTTTAACTAATCTTAAAAACTTTTAGTCTCGTTATATAGTAAGTTAGACAAAATCTCTCCTTAATATTAAAAAATAACGGAAGACTAGGCGGGTTTAGAAGTAAAATTGACAATAAAATAAGTAACAGTTAATATGACTATTAATAAAGAATCTCCAATAGCAATAGCTCTAAAGCTTATTAGAGCAAATAGCGGAAATTTAGCATTACACCACCATATTACAAGATAAAGACTAACTTTTCTCATTTATTTGACAAATTCATTAAAAAATACAACAGTTACATGGTGGATATATGAGAAATGTTTTGACGTTACTCACAGATGGGTGTTCTTTTTTGCATTATAGAACTTTCCATTTGACAACAGCTGATCAGCACCATAAATGTGTTCAGTCTTTTATTATTATTATCTGATTGTTCGACCTACGGATTACTTAGATCAAACATTTAAGTATAGAGAATGACTATCCTTAATCTTAAAATCATTGATACTGAGATGTTTTAGCTGGAACTAACTAGTACTTGCATACAGTTAATAACTATGATATAGCCTTTTAGCTTTAAATATTGTTTTCATCCTCGTCCATTTATGTTTAACCGTACTTTGAATAAATATACATCTTTGAACTTTGAATAGCACACTTAAATAATAAGTTCAGTATCAAGTATAAGTCACTCATTGTATCATTATATTTATCATTTATAATTATTTGTAAATATTTACTGAATTCAACTAGAGCTATCTCACCTAAAGAAATCAAATTTTCTGACAACTTTCGCCAAAATTCTTTATAGACTTAATAGAATCTAGCACAAATTGTTTGTTATAATTTGTCGTTTAAATGCTTATTGTCTTGGCTCTTTTAATGCTACTTTTTGTATCTGGTCTTCGCCGATTTTTATTTTGGAAATGCTTATCACTTATACTCGGAACGAGGGACCTCTACAATTCCCACGACGTGAAAGTAAGAACACAAAGACTGGTATATGTGATGATTTATTAACCCCAAAACACGACGACGACTCTAGTAGAAAATACACTCATTTATATATTGATTGTACACCCATTTTGATTAATAATTAGGATGAAATCACATATAGGAAAAATACTCAGAGTTATAATAAACCACATACTGAGCATAATTCATGTCAATGGAATACAAGAATATCGTATATTATACAGAATAAAATATCATGCGAGAAGAGAAAAGAAATACTACATTAAGTAATCATTACATTGAATCAAAACGGAAGTAAACTTGAACAAAACTCATAATGAGTTAATCAATCGAAAATTGACTTTTCTTTCCATCACATCATTGGTAACAATCCAAGCTGCAATACTTCAAATGAGTATAGCTAAAATAAAGTTAAAACTGAATAATTTTAATGAATTATATCAATGATTATAAAAACCATACAATGAATGTGCATTAGCAAGTATTTATATCTTTATGTCGCTTATATACCGTACTGACATTCGTCAGTCTCCATTTGGTTATCTGGATCCTGAAGGGATGTCTCGATATTGCTTCCCAATTACAATAGTATAATCTGTTCAAGCTGATATAAATTCATAGCATCAATTAGTTTACTATTTCAACAGATTATCCTATTCTAAAAACTTAAGCATAACTTACATCATGATTCCGTAAAACAATAGTAATCGTTCTAAGATATATATGATCAAAAGTACTGGGATTATAAGTGAGTTCTCATGAATCTCATATCTATCATGTCTATCAAAGAGCTAAACTAAATTCTAAGTAAGTTTTCTTATGTGAATAGATTTAATCGGATGAAAAAATTGCATGACTTGGATGTATATTTTAACAAAATTTTTTCTCCAATATTGATTGTACTACCACTTATCTTTTCAGTTTAAGGGTTGTGAAGATTGCTAAGTTTTTGATTGAGATCATGAACCGATTGATGTTAGACCACCACTG